CGTGACAACACACCATATGTGTTTCATTGAAAGGTGGTAATTAATTAAATAATTCAGACTTGGGGGGAAAAAAAAGATTTACTGAGCATGTTCTTCCTTTTTGATGTCTAACTCGAGGTCTTTGCACATAGCGTTATAGTATTCTCTCCGTCTTCTCTAGCTACCCTTTGAAGTCGTCTTTTCAGCTCTTCGACTTCACCATTTCGTCCATTTGCCTTAGCTGCTCTATATCTAGGGGCAAGTGTCAGAGTCTCTTCTGACATCCACGCTGATCTTTTCTTGATTTCCTGTCTGTTTAAAGCCCCTTTGCTTTCTTCGTAAATTATGTTATTGATACTACACCCCCACCACTCCCTGCTCATCAGATTTCTGTCATTAGTAAACAATACAGGAAATTTGTTCTTGAGATGCCCTTGAAATTCAGGTAGGTAGACAAGGTTGAAAATTTGGCTCTTGTGGATTTGTTTTGTTTTAATTTTCTTCCTCCTCATCTTGAACTTACATATGAGCACTTGATGGTCTGTGAAACGGCCAGCCCTGGCCTGGGCTTAGCTGCTGATGGTAAGCTTCTCTATCGTCTTCTCCCATGGATGTAGTCAATTGACTTTTGTGTATTCCATCTGAGGAAATCATACATATTTGTGCTATTCAAAAAAAGGTATTTACTATGAACAAAGCTTTGTTCTTGAAATATTCTCTCATGAGTTCTTCACCTTTGCTTATATTACCAAGACCATATTTTCTATTTTCCAACTTTTGTATTCCTATCGCCAATCATTATCAAGGCATCTTGATTGCATATTTAATCAATTTCTGATGGAACACATTGGTAGAATTCTTCAATTTCTTTACTTCTAGTTTTTGTGGTTGTTGCATACATTTGAATAATAGTTATAATGATTGCATTTCCTTGAAGGTAGATAAGCTTGCCACAGTCAGAACTGTTCTTTAAAATAGATCTTGAAATGCATTATTTTGGCAATGAGTGCGACACCGCTCTTCTGATTGTGTCATTCTCAGCACAGTAAATCATGATTTTCTGATTCAAAATAGCAATCACCAGTCCTTTCAGTCCACTAACAGCTAGAATATCAGTCTACATGCCTGCAATTTCATTTCATGTCTGACCACTTTTAATTTTCCTAGATTCATACTTCATACGTTCCAATGGCGATGAGCAGTTGGTTTCTGCAGCCGTTTCTTCCCACGTTGAGTTCTGTCCCACCAGCACGTGGAGGTCCTGATGACTCCTCTCCCACAGGCTTTACTCGTTTCACGCCATCATGGTGACTCTGCTTCCAGAGAGCAGCTCCTCCTCATTCACATTTTGAGCGTCCTTCCACCCCAGACGGCCATCCTCTGCCTCTAGGACAATGTTCTCCTTCCATGCACTAGGCCTTCGGTGTCTGACAATGCATAATCATAAGTACGCATCAATTTCTCAGTGGCTACTTCCTCTGAAGGGGACAACCGATTCCTTCTTTGGCTTCATAACTTTGTAGTCACTTTTAATGATTGAAAATTGGTTAAATGCTTGTAAAAGGGTCCAATGAATATGTTTTCAATTCTAGGGTCTGTTTGTCCCAATCTTTTCCTATCCTACAAAGGTGAGGCTTGCCACCAGCTGCGTGGTTTGAAGAAATGGGTGAGGGTTATAAAGGGCTATGAAATGTCTTTTTCCATTTTCTTTCTTTTGCAAGGTGCAGACCTGTGGTGTAGACACAGAGCACAGAGAAATGGAGGCTGGGATCTTATGCTATGAGTTTCTTGTCAGTGGTAGGAAGGTACCTCTCATTGCACAATAGGTGAGTGGAGTGCTGACCTTTGCTATGGAAGTTACCTTGTATGACGATAGTTCATGTGTCTGGGTTTTCGGTGTGTGTAGGCATATGTCGATTCACTTGGACCCCTTATTTATACCTGGGTCTACCTTCAACCTAGATCTTCCCTCGACATTTATTCGGTGGGAGGGGGGGGCATCACTTCACCTGAAATTGTTGCTCTTGGAACTATTAGGTAACTCCAGTTGATCCTACAGTCTCTCCTTCTTCATATGGAGTCAAAAGAAAGGCTAGGTTGTCCTCTATCCTTTCTGAGAATCCTGCATACTTTGGATGCAACGGATCTCTCTTCCTCTTGGATCTCTTTACCTCTTCCTCTCCTTTTTCTTGAATATAATTTTCTTTTAACTTCAGCAGATGCAGGAAGCCATGCACTTCACAATAGACCAAAGCTTGTCTTTAGGCTTGTCTGCCAGGTACACGTCTCACACCCTTGTATGGACTTTTTCTCATCACTCTCCTCTCATCTCATGCCAGAAAGCAGGTTTTGCAGCTCAGCAAGCATCTACCCTGGAGGGAGCTGGTAATCTCTCTCACTGTCTTTTTCTCTCATTGATGCTGACTCATCGAAGACTGTGACTGTTAACAAACCTCATCTTTCCCTCTTTTTCTAAGCACTTCCCATCTTAACCCTGGTTTCTGTTCTAGTTCTTCCATCATTTGGCTTTTAGTAGCCTTTCTCTTTGTCCACTAGAAAAAGGTAAGAATTTCTCACAATGACTTAAAAAATCTCATCTTTTCGGTCTTCTCCTTAAGCAGACTAGAGAAATGAAAGGGTAATTGCAATAAAAACACTGGTGTTTTTTTGAAGTTCGTTAAAATACGTGGTGCTTCAAGACCCTTGTTTGAAGGGGAATAGTTAATTTCTTGTGACATGTGTGCAAGAGGGGCTGTGATGATCCTATCAGGGAGTAGTTTAACACAATAGTTAAAAAAAGGTGTTGCTAAGCTTTCCATCTTAAATAATGAGGGGGGAGGGTTTTTTTTTTTAATTCCTCAGACTCCAAAAGTGAACACTAGTATTTATGTGACCATGATGGATATTAATATCTAATATGTCAACATCAGACTATTTAGAAAAAGAAATCAGATATTGAATTCTAACAAATGGTTGAAAAGTTGGTGTGCATCCAGAGTTAGTAAAGAATTGCAGTAAGAAGGGCATTATTCGAAGATGATACTGCAAACCCTAGAAATGCATTGTATTTACCATGAAGGATGAGATTCCTGTCGGGCTGCTAGCCACAATGTCAGTGTTTGGAACGCAGCAGCCATTCCTTGGGGGCTGTGGGGTGGGGGTGGGGGTGGTTGTGTGATGTGGCTTTCTGCTCTAGTTACGATCTATAGCTTCTGAATCCCACCAGGACAGCTCAGCTTTGTTCTATTAGGGTTGCTATGAGTCAGAATTGACTCAACGGCAGCAAATTTTATATTGAGAGAGTAAACCGATTCAGAGACCACTACTTTTGTACACTAATAAGGAATGAGAAGGAGAGACCAAAGAGACTAAAAGGGCAAAAACATCTATGGAGACAAAAGGAAGATGAGATAAGATGAGTACTGGAATACTGAAATGGAAATAGGTTTTAACAAAGAAAGAAGCAAAAAGTGCAGGCAAATGATGGCTCTAGAAGAGAGAAAGGAAAGTTAACTAACTCTGTCAGGCTGTGGCAAGTTGCCACCAATTTTCCCTAAGAGGTCTCTTGGTAGCCTTAAAGGTATAAGTTGTTCAACGCGAATCTAGTAATGATGTGAAATTCAGCATTCCCCACTGGCCTTGTTAATATCCCATTTTGCTTCCATATATCTAGCACACAAACATTATGTCAGTTAGGGGGTCATGTACCTGTCCCACTAGACTACAAACTTATGTAGACTGTTTCTAATCCTCTTTTACATCCACATTATCTGGCATATTGTAGCATATAAAAATAGTTAAGGAATTAAGGAATATGGTAAGATCTTAGTGGCTAGAAAAGTTATATTTTTTCTAATGAATTTGTCAGCAATTTGTTTTTTATTAATGATAACAGGTTTGATGCCTAATACTCAACATGATTTAAGGCTGTGGATCTGAGAATTTACCAAGTAGGACATGTAATTTGCTGCAAAGGGAAATGGGAGAGTTAGTCATTGCTTTGTGACATATTAATGTTGCAACAGACCTAAGTCTGTGTCCACAAACTTAAGCATGCAAAAGATAAGAAGTCACAAAATGTCACATATTGCATGTGACCATGTATATCAAATATCAAGACAGAAAGAAGATTCATGATTGTCCGGGGCTGGAGAGAGGAAGAATGTGGAATAACTGCTTAGTGGGTATGGGATGTCCTTTTGGGGGCGTCTAAAATGTTTCGGAACTTAATAGAAGTGGTGGTTGCCTAATATTTTGAATATGTTAGATGACACTGAAGTATTCATTTTGGAATGACTAATTTTATGTCATGTGAATGTCACGAAAATTAGTTTAAAAGGAGTTAATGCAACTAGTTAATTAAAAAAATTCAATTCAACCTGATTCTGAGATATTTTCTTGCTTATTTTATAGAGAGAACCCAAGCATCTTTATTACGGGGTGACCTCTGTCCTCCATGAGGCTGTGGGAAGCACTCGGGGTCTGAGATGGAATTCTAGATTGTGAAGTCCACTTAGTGACTCATGGTCCCAGCTTACAACATTCCTATGGGAACATCAGCTGTGGACCTCCATCCCGAGCCTTGTACAGGGTATGGGGAGCTTTGCTTCAAACCGTAGTGACTGGAGTTTGGCCTCCCTTGGGAGGCCGAGAAAGCTTCTCTTTTGATGTTTTGCTGCCTGCCCCAGATACCAAGAGAAAAGGGGTGCGTCCATCCCCTCATCTTTTTTGAATTTGCAGACAGTGCCAATGTTCTCGTTGTTTGTTTGTTTTTTTGATGTCCTCCAAAACATTCCTAACATAAACTTAAAAATAAATGTCGGGCTCCTTATTAAAAACCGGAAGAGTGATTATCCTTCGGTGGCTCCTGCTTCCTGCCCAGAAAGATAAATCCATGAAGTATGGAAACATTAAGGCTTCCTGCATGTAATATGGGTTGAAAGGAAATAGAGCAAAAGCAAATGTTTCAAAAATTGCTCTACGACAGTGTATTTGACCCTGCAATTAAAGTCACCACTTACCTTATTGGTAGTTTTCGATTTGCAAGACAACACAAGACTGCAACTATAATATGAGTCATCAGGAAAGCCAGTCCAATACCCAGGATTGTCCATATGTCTGGAATTAAAAAAAGAACGATACATTTTTAGTGAAAAATTAAAATTAGAGAAGCAAAATTCAAGTTCAGTTATAATATCACCTACTATTCTGTGTGTATGTGACGCCTGCAGGAGGAGAGTCGAACTTGATGTGACACCGATTGCCTTCCCAGCCTGGTCCACAGCTGGAAGGAGATAAAATGTGATAAGTAAGGACAAAACCAAAACAACACAACAACAAACAAACAAACAAAACCTGGAAAGAACTTTCAGCAGATCTGTCAAGGAATACAATGATGCCTGCCAGTCCATAATGAGACACCACTAGGGTGGGCTCCCTTCATCAGAAACCAATACTGTTCAATCACAGTTCAATTTTACGATTGTAATGGCAATACATAAAAAGCGCTTTTTCATCTATATTTTCCCCTTACTGACTTTAGCTATAAGGCGAGACTTGTTTTCAGAATGCTTATTTCTTGTTTTCTGAAATGGCCTCATTTATCAATTTTTAACTTTCCTTCAGTTCTCATTTGTCACAAACCCTGAAGCTGTCACATTTTTTCCCCATAGCTAATAACCAAAGTTGTTTTCTGACATCATTGAGGCAAATCCAAACTACAGAAGAGCACGCATGCAAATTAAGGAGCATATTCCTTTGTCAATTCATTGGGGTGGTGGGGAGTCCTTTTAGCGCAAAGATTTGGAATCAGGTTTCTAATGTCATTGGGCTACTCCTACTAGTATTTCACTTCCTTGGCCTCAGTTAAGGGCGCCGCCACTTGTCTGTCATTTTGTCATATTCTGGTGCCTTGTGTGTTGCTGTGATGCTGGGTGCTATGTCACTGGTATTTCAGGTGCCAGCAGGGTCACCCAAAGTCAACAGGTTTCAGCGTCGCTTCCAGACTCAGAACAGACAACGAAGAAGCCCTTAGCTGCCCACTTCCAAGGACGGAGCCCCTGAAAACCGGATGCATAACTTGAAACAATGTCAGATTATGAAGGCCTAATGAATGGAAGCAGAACGCTGTCAGAGAGTAAAGGAGGATGGGCCCCTAGGTTGGGAATAGGCCCCTAGGAAGAGCTGATGTGCAGAACGTAGCGTTGGAATTGGAGGACAATTTCTTAACAACCTGCTGTATGCACATGACTCAACCTTGCTTGCTGAAAGTGAAGGGGACTTGAAGCACTTGATGAAGGTCAAGAATTGCAGCCTTCAGTGTGGATTACGTAAAGCAGGCCAACATCCTACAACTGGACCGATAGATAACA